GAGAGAGAGAGAGAGAGAGAGAGAGAGACAGACAGACACTAGTATCTTAATGGAATATGTGCTGGGCTGCTAAACCAAAGGTCCATACTTTAAATCTGCTAGTCTGTCCAAGGGAGAAAGATCTGACATTCTGCTCCTGGTAAAACTTACAGCCTTAGAAACCGGATGCTTGGTTGTCACAAACTGAAGTTGACTTGACGGCAGTGAGTTTTTATAAACTTACTTGCTTACTGTATAACATTAACATCTTAATAACTGACACTGAGCACTACGTGTCAAGGGTCTACAACTAGAATATTTTTCATTTTTAGTTCTTGTGAAACCCATGTTCTGATCACCATTTTATAGATGTGGAAAATGAAACTAAGGAATCACACTTCCAAGTCCACACATTTGCAACACTGTGCTGCCACCCTCTAAAAGGCCACTAACAATGAGCCAAGATTTTAGATAAAATTTTAGATGTGAAGCACAACATAAGTTATCAGAATTCAGATCAGTAGATTCTGTACAGTGAAGGAAAAAAACAGCTGTTACACCCTGAGCTCTGTCTTGATGCTGAAGAGACTGAGTTTATATAAAAGACTGTGGGTTAAAAAGTGGTGGTGCTGGTCTGGCTGGGGTTAGTGTTTTGTGGATCCTGGGAGGCCCTTTCAAACTCTATCATTCAATGAAATTCAAATACAAGACTTCCTTATCATAGAACTGAGGTTATTATTTTAAACTCTGCCTTTTCTTTTAAAAGGCCTTTGATTGAGGGATTGAGGGAATAGGAGTATAAAGCCCTTTTCTACTGCATTCAGTACTGTGTACTTATGGGAGAAGGATGTGTTTACTTACACTCCTCTGCCAACTGGCTTCAACCTTTACATGCAAAGTTTGTACACATAATAGGATTTAGAAAGTGTTTAAGACTATTTACTCGGACTTAAAGTGAGAATGATATTTGTATTCTACCTGTGAAGTCGTTGATTTTCCTCTGGAGCCAAACCACTTAGAATAATACATTTGTTGTCCCTGCAATATGAAATTTAATACAGATCCTTAAAGCTACAAGGACAAGAAGTACAACTCTTGGCTCGGGGAATGATTCTCAGAATTTACATGAAAGACAAACCCTGCCTCCAATAAAGTCTCAGTAAAGGGAAACTCATTTGCAGAGAATTTGCTAATATAATTACTGTTTCATAATGTGGAATGTCACTTTACACTAGGACTATAAATGAGTTAATTTAATTTAAAAGAAAATATGTTGTTACATGTGAATCTGATTTAACTAGAAGCAATGAAAGTCAACATCATTGCTTACCTTTTAGTTTCCAAACAAATCAAGCCAAGTTTCTATCATATGAGAAGGAACCAAGAAACTGGGATATGTTTTGTTCAAAAGGGGAGAGGGGAATCCCAAGTATTAATTTAGAGTTTGATTTTTGTCTCCTTTCTGATCAGACCTTTTATTATAACTGGCATCAGTGGGGCAAAGGGAAGAGTTTTCTTCAGAGCCTTTTATATTCCTCTTTACACATTTAGTTACTAGCTAGGTGTTGCTTTTAGGTGTCATCAGGGTGACAGTGGCCTGTGAACAGCAGTTCTGTACCCTTTCCTGTCCTGTGCATTCTCATCATCTCTAATATACTTGAGCCCATTGATAGAGCCATTGTATCAACTATCTCATTGAGGATCTGTCTTCCTCTATCTCACTGACCCTGGATCTTTCCAAGCATACATGTTTTTCCAAAGAATTGCCTCACCTAACAACATTCCCAGAGTATCCAATTTTCCTAGATTCATACTTCGTATGCTGCACATTACAATTATTAATAGATGTTTGTAGTTTTTGCAACACTCATAATTAAGTGTTGTCCCATATGAGGGTTCTCCCTTCAATGCTGTATCTATTGTTCACAGTGTGGTTGTTTTATTTTTTAAACTTTATTATGAACATAACTTTTTATAATACTTTTTTTAAATTTTTAAATTAATTTTAATGAAAGTTTACAGAGACTTAGAGTTTCCAGTCATTCATTGTTGCACTTTTATCACTGCCCACCCCCTCACCCCAAATTCACTCTTCTCCTTGAAAAGTAAAAGAAAAACTCTTTCATTGTTATGTAATACCTTCCCCCAAGTCCACTCCACTGTGCAGCCTTCATTATGGACTCCTGACATGAAAACAATACCCTTTTATCATATATCCCTTTTAAACAGTTTTCTCTGTCATCTGTTTCAGTGCAGTATATATCATTCCTCTCCTCCTCTGTCTTCCCTCAACTCCAATTTCAGTCCTGTTTTACAGTAGTGGCCCTCTGCAATATTTGTCCTTTGTGATGGAGATATTTCACTCAGCATAATGTCCTCCAGCATGATCCATTTTGCATAATATTTCATGAGTTCCTTTTTTTTCAATGATGCATAGTATTCCATTGTGTGAATATACCACAGCTTCTCTATCCATTCGTTTGTTGATGGGCACTTGGGTTGTTTCCAGCTCTTTGTTATTGTGAACAAAGCCACAATCACTTTTTTATAATACTTTTAAATCATGTATAATATTACATAACTCATACCTTTCAAAGTGTAACTTTTGTTTGTTTTTGTCTTTTAATTTTTATTTTATATTGGTTTGCTTACAAAGTTTGAATCCATTGTGTTTCATATTCTTATTCACATTGTGTTTCATACAGTCATTCCTATTCATTATGGGTGTTTTTTTAAATTTTATACTGGTTTATTTACAAAGTTCATACACAATGTTTTTCTTACCATACCATTCCCATTTCCTTCACCCCACCCATCAAATTGTGCAACCCTGTTCATAGCCATTTGAAGGCCTATTGGATCAGAAGTGAATGGCTAATCCTCCTTCCAATTCTGTCTTAATCTGGAAACTCTGCTGAAACCTGTCTGCCACATTCAGCCCTGCTTCCAGCATCACAGCAATTCACAGTTCACCCTAGTATAACAAGCTGACAGAAAAATGCTGTACTTGTGCTAGCACATGGTTAACAGGTAGACCTATACATAAGCTATGAAATAAGCAACAATTTGTGCTGTCAGTTTTGTTTTGACACATAGTAACCTGGTACACAACAGTCTGCAACACAACAGGACCTGCTCCATCCTCACAGTTGTTCATATGAGCCCACTGGTGTACCCACTGTTGTCCCTGTACCTTGTAGATCCTCTCCTTTACCAAATGAGATGTGTTTCTTCAGGGATCGGCTCCTCTTGACAACATGCTCAAAGTATATGAGATGAAGTCTCACTGTCTTCATTTCTAAAGCACTTTCTGGCTGCACTTTTTCCAAGACAGATCTTCTGGCAGCCTTATGTATTTAGATATGTGAATAAGCAAAATAGAAGATGGGAAAAGATTCTCTTTGACTTTCCACTGGCTTTCTCATCTCTGAGTAAATCACATTTCTCAGATGAAGAATACTTGGGGGCCAATAATATCTTCTATCCCCTAGGAATTTAATAACAACAAATTAGGAAAAGCAATTTCTCAGAAAATCCTCTATTGGAACATATGTTGGAGTCAGGTGAGGATGAGAATGCTTGTCTTCCTATTTCTTAACTGGAGGGTCTTGGAAAAGTTACTTGATATCTTTCAATATCTGTTTCTTCATTTGTAAAACCAGGACCATGATATCTACGCCACAGGGCTTTTA